CTTACTATACTATGACGCTTTTTCACATTTTTTTGCCTTACTATACTATGACGCTTTTTCACATTTTTTTGCCTTACTATACTATGACGCTTTTTCACATTTTTTTGCCTTACTATACTATGACGCTTTTTCACATTTTTTTGCCTTACTATACTATGACGCTTTTTCACATTTTTTTGCCTTACTATACTATGACGCTTTTTCACATTTTTTTGCCTTACTATACTATGACGCTTTTTCACATTTTTTTGCCTTACTATACTATGACGCTTTTTCACATTTTTTTGCCTTACTATACTATGACGCTTTTTCACATTTTTTTGCCTTACTATACTATGACGCTTTTTCACATTTTTTTGCCTTACTATACTATGACGCTTTTTCACATTTTTTTGCCTTACTATACTATGACGCTTTTTCACATTTTTTTGCCTTACTATACTATGACGCTTTTTCACATTTTTTTGCCTTACTATACTATGACGCTTTTTCACATTTTTTTGCCTTACTATACTATGACGCTTTTTCACATTTTTTTGCCTTACTATACTATGACGCTTTTTCACATTTTTTTGCCTTACTATACTATGACGCTTTTTCACATTTTTTTGCCTTACTATACTATGACGCTTTTTCACATTTTTTTGCCTTACTATACTATGACGCTTTTTCACATTTTTTTGCCTTACTATACTATGACGCTTTTTCACATTTTTTTGCCTTACTATACTATGACGCTTTTTCACATTTTTTTGCCTTACTATACTATGACGCTTTTTCACATTTTTTTGCCTTACTATACTATGACGCTTTTTCACATTTTTTTGCCTTACTATACTATGACGCTTTTTCACATTTTTTTGCCTTACTATACTATGACGCTTTTTCACATTTTTTTGCCTTACTATACTATGACGCTTTTTCACATTTTTTTGCCTTACTATACTATGACGCTTTTTCACATTTTTTTGCCTTACTATACTATGACGCTTTTTCACATTTTTTTGCCTTACTATACTATGACGCTTTTTCACATTTTTTTGCCTTACTATACTATGACGCTTTTTCACATTTTTTTGCCTTACTATACTATGACGCTTTTTCACATTTTTTTGCCTTACTATACTATGACGCTTTTTCACATTTTTTTGCCTTACTATACTATGACGCTTTTTCACATTTTTTTGCCTTACTATACTATGACGCTTTTTCACATTTTTTTGCCTTACTATACTATGACGCTTTTTCACATTTTTTTGCCTTACTATACTATGACGCTTTTTCACATTTTTTTGCCTTACTATACTATGACGCTTTTTCACATTTTTTTGCCTTACTATACTATGACGCTTTTTCACATTTTTTTGCCTTACTATACTATGACGCTTTTTCACATTTTTTTGCCTTACTATACTATGACGCTTTTTCACATTTTTTTGCCTTACTATACTATGACGCTTTTTCACATTTTTTTGCCTTACTATACTATGACGCTTTTTCACATTTTTTTGCCTTACTATACTATGACGCTTTTTCACATTTTTTTGCCTTACTATACTATGACGCTTTTTCACATTTTTTTGCCTTACTATACTATGACGCTTTTTCACATTTTTTTGCCTTACTATACTATGACGCTTTTTCACATTTTTTTGCCTTACTATACTATGACGCTTTTTCACATTTTTTTGCCTTACTATACTATGACGCTTTTTCACATTTTTTTGCCTTACTATACTATGACGCTTTTTCACATTTTTTTGCCTTACTATACTATGACGCTTTTTCACATTTTTTTGCCTTACTATACTATGACGCTTTTTCACATTTTTTTGCCTTACTATACTATGACGCTTTTTCACATTTTTTTGCCTTACTATACTATGACGCTTTTTCACATTTTTTTGCCTTACTATACTATGACGCTTTTTCACATTTTTTTGCCTTACTATACTATGACGCTTTTTCACATTTTTTTGCCTTACTATACTATGACGTTTTTTCACATTTTTTTGCCTTACTATATTATATCTATTTTCACATTTTTTGCCTTACTATACTATGACGTTTATTGCCTTACTATCCTATGACGTTTTTTCAAATTTTTTTGCCTTACTATACTATGACGTCTTTTCACATTTTTTTACCTTACTATACTATGACGTTTTTTGACATTTTTTTACTTTACTATACTATGACTTTTTTTCACATTTTTTTGCCTTACTATACTATGATGTTTTATGCCTTACTATACTATGACGTTTTTTTACATTTTTTTGCCTTACTATACTATGACTTTTTTTTCACATTTTTATGCCTTACTATACTATGACGTTTTTTCACATTTTTTGCCTTACTATACTATGACTTTTTTTCCAAATTTTTATGCCTAACTATACTATGATGTTTTTTCACATTTCTTTGCCTTACTATACTATGACGTTTTTTCACATTTTTTGCCTTACTATACTATGACTTTTTTTCCAAATTTTTATGCCTAACTATACTATGATGTTTTTTCACATTTCTTTGCCTTACTATACTATGACGTTTATTGCCTTACTATACTATGACGTTTTTTGACATTTTTTTGCCTTACTATACTAT